CCAATCATAATACATTTCCTTACACAGGAACAGGAAACAGAGAGGTGGGACTGAACAGGTTATAAAAAGCCTAGCAAGCCCCTCCCTCGGGCCTTTTCTTCTCCAGCAACACTGAAGTATGTAATCACCTTTTCTGTTCAGGGTTCAAGCCATGTGGTCCTGTCCAACAATAAACCATCTTTCCAAGCAGCCTCCATGTCTCCAGTGTCTTTTTCTCCACTTGGAGCCGAACCCAGGAGGACATTTCTTTCATCAGGCAGAAGAGCATCTTGATATAACTTTCACAATTTTGTTGGGAGCGGTTGTTATTGCATGATGCATGAGAACATTAAAATGCCACATTATAGTGGACAGGAAGTCCTATTTCAAGAACATAGCACGTTTTTTGCATGCAGGCGATCCAAAGTCAAATGTTTGCCAACTAGGAAGAAAAGAATAACCCGACAAGAAATTCTAGAGCTGTTACCGATCAGGTTGAAAATACTCGATCATAAGCAACCCACTATGAACAGTATAACAGCATCTCTCCTAATTCTAATTCAGATTTAATTTGGCTTCCAAGTAATAGCACTGGGGGCCGACAGTAAGAACGTTAACTTTATGCACTGCTGTTTGTACATAAAGGCAACAGTTGCCGATTAAACGGAACCAGCTCCTCTGCTGTTTTCGCTTTCATTAACGCCAAAGCTCGGCTGCCCGATGGCCGAAGTGTTTCTCAGCCGCTCAGCATCTCTAGCTCAACGCCCCCGCGGCCAGGATGGGCCTTCGGCAGTCTTCGTGGCTCCACCCCAGCAGCCAGGCACAAGGCCCAACGACCCTCGCCTCCCACTCGGCTCCTCCTCGCTTAGGCCCAGCCACCTAACTGGCGCCGCCTTCCTCCCTCTCGGAAGCCTCTCCCAGTCTTCCGCTTCGTCCGGCGTTGGGGACCGAAGTGGCGCCGTCGCCGTTCTTGCGGTGCCGCCCCTCTTTCCGAGCCTCAGAGCGGCTGAGTACGCGTCGTCGAGCTTCGGCGGAACTGCTGGTCGCCGCTGGGATTGGCGCTCCCCAGCAAGGCCCCGGCTTCAGCTGACGACCGGGGTCGCGGGAGAATGCGGCGGCTGGCGCGGGTGGTGCTGCTGTGCCTGGGCTGCGGTTTGTGCTCGCTGCTGTACGCCTTCAGCCAACTGGCTCTGTCTCTGGAACAGGAGGCGCCCCGGCGCCAGGGGGACTCCGCCTTCCCAGGCCGGAGGCAACTGAGTGGCGGCAACCCGCGTTTGGAAGCCGTGGCGGGAAGTGCAGGCCGCAACGAGAGAGACCGTCGGTCGGGGCCAGAGAGGTATATAACTCGGCTCTTATGTTGGGGAGGGAAGAAAGGGTCTCTTCCCCCCAAAAGGCTCTCGGTTTATTCCTAAATGGTGGGGGGGTTCCCTCTTTCATGAACGATGGGCGGGTGGCTGGCTGGGTACCTCAGAGAGAGGGGAAAGCCCGCAAGAGAGCTAAGAGTTGCTACTACAGCAATCGATCCTAGACTATGACGTCCTATGGACCTCTTCATGCAGATGGTTTATAGATCCCCAAATATTTGTTACATAAAAATACTTTAATAGAACTACGAATAATAATAATATTAACAAGAATATTACCGACTTTTGGATTCCCCCTTGGACCTTTGGTGGTTTTGTTTCTCCGATGTACAGATCTGCACATGGCTCGCTTAGCAACTGCTCTGTCTTGTGTTGTATGCAGGAGTGTTATATGCAGTGCAATGCAGTGAGCCATGTGCAGATCTGTACACTGTAGAAACAAAATAACTGCTTCATAAACACAGGCCACAACATCAGGACTAGATTCAGCAGCCCATCTCCATTTAAAAGACAAAGGCCACATTTTGGACACCGAGGACCACTGATTTGAAAGGGGTCAAAGTGGGCATCTATGCCAATATTGAACAGCCAGAGGGGGAGGGATACAACATCATTATCTCCAGTCCTTTCAACAGTTCCAAGAAGGCTCCAGACCCACTTGCGCTACTCAGGTGATTCTGATGACACAGATAAACCTCCAGGTGACATTAACGACCTGCTAAAGGAGTAAAAATCCTTCCATTCTCCACCATCCGGTCAGAGCTGAAGAAGCAGCTTGGATGAGAAGCAAAACATCTTCAAAGATAAACCAGAAAGTCCAGTTGCCTCTTGAAAAAAGTATCTTTGGGACAACCATGACCTGGATGACTGAGAATCTCCATAGACCTTCAGCTAGGATTGAACAGTTTATGCCTTGCTTATTTATTTTAAGCTTACATGCCATCCAGCTCACCAAAGTTGATTCTAGGTGGCTCACAATCAATAAAACATCATTGTAAAACATTAAAACAAATGGTAACTTTAAACTTGCAGAATTGGAGAGGAAGGGAGCAAAAGATGTATCTGGGGAAACGTGAAGTCTTACCTAGTTCTTAACCACTTCCAGAATGACACACCTCCACTGGGGTCCCTGGCCACTTGGTAGAGCCAAGTCTTCAGGCCCTTTTGCAAAGGCTAAAAGGGTGGCTGTAGATCTCACATTGGGGGATACAATGTTCCAGTACAGGTAGGCTTTGATTTACAACCATTCATTTAGTGGCCATTTGAAGTTACAATGGATCTGAAAAAAAGTGATTTACAACTGATCCTTGTGCTTACGAACGACATCACAGCATTGCTATGGTCGTGTAATCAAAAGTCAGATGCTTGGCAACCAGCATATATTTATGACGGTTGCAATCTCGGAGTCATGTGATCACCATTTGGATCTTTCCAGCTGGCTTTCAATGAACAAGTAAATATTCATTGTCAGATTTGCTTAAGACCATCTGATTTACTTAATAATTGCAGTGATTCACAACAATTATAGCAAAATAGGTCCTAAAATTGGGCATGACTCACTTAACAACAACTTAACAAATTGTGGTCTTAGTTGTGATTGTAAGTCAAGGACTATCTGTGTATGGCCCCTGCAATACTTTATTTGCAGTGGACAGACATACAATTTTGAATCCCTTTTAAAATTCTGGAGTCTTGAAGAATCTGAATGCTTTGCGGCTACTATAGCATTTGTGCTATGATGTGAACTACAGGAAAAAAAATCCCACTTGTAATACAACATGGGAAATTCCAAATTTGTACATAGTTTTCTTTTTATTTGAAAGATTATTCACATGTTCAATCAAGTGATTAATTTAAAAGTTCTGTTTCATTTGGTTTTACTTTAGTTTTTGTCCCAGCTGTAGTTTACAAGAAATATTTCAAACTAGACTTCATATCACATATTCTAGGTAAAGCAATAAATATGTTATTGAAAATGAAGACAGTGAAATGTAGCATTGTGAGATTTTTGTGAAAGAGCCCACATCTTGATTATACTTGTGTTATGAAGCATACACAATTATGTTGAAGATGTGCAGATGAGCTATCTTGTTTGTGGTGTTGTATATTTATTGAATATTTGTTATAAAAAGATCACATTTAAATACAGCTGCTACTTCACGCCTGCAAATGTTGAAAGTAGTCATGGATTTAATCAATAATTTTTCCAGACATTAATTAATTCTGCTTTTCCCTCATCATACTTTGGAAAGTACTCCAAAGTGACTTTGCATTTTAAGATTGTTGATTGTTTCAGTGTAAAATAAGATTAGATATTAAATTTGTTTACTGAAATATAATCATGTTCTACAGATCTATTTAGCTACTTTTTGTTAGATGAAAGTCAGGATGCAATGTGATAATTGCTGTTCTAGTTTGTTTAGCAGAAAAAGAGTTAATCTATTAGACAACCCTTAACATGAAATTAGGAAATTTGCCTGAGGTCATTCTGATTCCACCTACTATATGCAGAACTCTGAAAATCCCATTCCTGCCCCAATATTGTCTTTTCAGTTCCAACTTTTACAACGTGTTTGAGCTTTATAATTAAAGTGGAATGAAATTTTTAGTTCCAAAGAGGAAAGCTGTCATTTTTAAACTTAAGCTTTTGATTTTATGAGATGCTTTATATATATAGGATAGCCCAGAAGATTTGGAAATGGCAAAGGGTGGTTTGTCTCCTGTTCAAGTGTTTCAGCAGATAGCTTTTATTAAAAGGAGTATTGACTTAATATTCAGTAACTGCTTATGACAGAAATATATTTTATTTGATTAAAAGGTTGCTATGGGCAAATGAAGTTTGCTGTCACCACTTAAGTATAAGTATATAATGAGAGAAATAAAAATTCCATTTAGATTTCTCAGCTCTATTTCTTGTGGAGTATGCAATTCTGGCATTAATTAGTGGAAGCACAGTTGTTTTACATCATAGAAATCAGCATCTAAGATTAACTATATGCAGCTGCTTTTTGCTTACATAGGAATGAATTTTAAAATTCTCTATGAAATACTGAGGATTTAAATTATATTTTCAGTGCCTGTATTCCTGTTAGTACTTTTTATAAAATACAGTTTGACAATGTATGTATGGTCTATTGCAATTGCATTTCTATATAATTAAAATGCATTCCAGAAGTGAATGTAGTAACCATCTGTAGAAATCCTACATTTCCTGGTGGATTACACTATTAAGGATCAGCTTCACTGAGGTTAATGCATATTACTAATTCCTAATGAACATAGGTTTTTATGTATGTCTCCATATTCATGTAATTCGCTTTTTAAAACTTTTATTAGTACCGTATGATGTACTTTTGTATGAAAAACACTAAAGAATTACGTCCATTGATCATAAGAAAAAAAAATACATTGAGGCAATACTGTTTTTCTTTTAATAATTTTGTTATGCTTATCAAGATATAAATGCAAAAGAAAATGAAAATAGTAGGAAAATGAGGGAACTCTTTTTAACATAGTAGAATAAGATAGCAACATCACAGCCTCAACTTTTTATTTTTACATACTTAATGTATTAGCCATTTCTATAACAACAAATTTAACTAATCAGCAAAACCTAAAGTCAATGGTTCATTTTTTTCCATCTCAAGCACAAAATCCAGAAGTGGTTTCCAAGTAGAAACAAAGCTGGATGTGTTATTTTCTTTGATTAAAGCAATTAATTTAGCCATCTCTGCTAGTTCCATCAGTTTTTCCAGCCCGTCATCCATTGTGAGAATTAAATATCTTTCCATTTTTGTGCATAAAAACATTTTTGTTCTGTTTACATATATAACAGCAAAGTTCCATATTTTTTTCAAGTTGTTTGTCCATCAAGCCTAAAAGAAAAGTTTGTGGTTTGATTTTTATATTCATTTTAAGAACCTTCTTACCCAGTATTTCTTTGCTTTGTCACAAGTCCATCAAGGATAATAAAAAGTTCCTTCTTTACATTTACAGTTCCAACATACATATGAAATACCTTTATACATCTTTGACAGTTTTAATAGGCACATCATTTATAAATAAAAAATTAAATTATAATTTAATGTAAATTTTAAACTTTTCAACCACATGTTGTCCACACTTTGTCCATTGTACAATCATTACATTATACTCCCTTTTTTTACTCATTAGATTATCCAATGCTTCACCATATTCATTCTCCAAATTCAGTTTCAATAATAATTTATAAACCTTGACAATAACATGTTCATCATTACCACACAATACCATTTCAGATTCATTTTTTTGCAAAGTCAAATCTGTAACTTAAGAGTTTTTACACTTTTCCTTGCATCGGTTTCCTGGTGTCCCATACCTCATCCCTATCACAATAATCAGCATTTTAATTCTACTTGAATATTTACTTGGTGTTGTATCTTGATCTTTATAAAAACGTTCCCTAAGTATTTTATTTGTTCATATAGCAGTTTATATATTCTAAATATTAAATAATTTGGTCTGTTTACTATCATAAAAGGATCAGTGTAAGTAAGCAATCTCTATATTAATACATCTAATTTTCATAAAAATATAATACAGGATAATCTAGTAAAAATCCAAGCTGTGATACTTCCCATCCATTATTAATCACCAAATGCTTATCCTCATATGCATGATATTCCACAGCAGAAGCATAGATTCTGAGATCCGCCCACTTGACTTCATTGGGAACCCAGAAGAGTCTTTCCTCTCAGGAAGAATGCATTAAATGGGAAGAATGCATTCACTACTTCAATCTTAGGTTGTAGTAAAGCAATACTGCTTTAACTACATAGCAATTCAATCTCACTTTTAAAATTTAAATACCTGTTAATTTAGCCTGGTGAACATTCAAGAAAAAATAGATGCTTCTTAGAAATACATTTAGTTTTTGACTTAGTGACTTGCAACTTATTGCCCTATGAAATACAGTGAATATATGATTTTTAAAATACAAGAAAAAAAGACACTAGCCAAAATTCTGTGCAAATAGAATATTAGAAGAAAATAAATTATTCACAAGAAATAAATAGAAATGATTACAAAAGTAGCACTAAAACATAAATCCATGTTCATTGGCTGTGGTGGGATTCAAATTTTTTAACAACCGAGGATGCCGAAATTTGAGTGGATGACTTGGGAAAGGTGTCAGAATAACAAAATAAAACTTAGAGGGTACTTGGGGGGGGGGGGCTATACCGTTTCAGAGAAATGGCTGACCAGTCTTTTCTGAAAAACATCCAATAAATGAGCACCCAGAACGTCTGGAAACAAGCAGTTCTACTGGTTAACTGTTCTCACTGTCAGGAAGTTTCTCCTTAGTTTTAGGTTGTTTTCAGAAAAGACTGGATAGCCATTTCTCTGAAATGGTATAGGGTTCCCCCCCCTAAGTACCCTCTAAGTTTTATTTTGTTATCCCAGGCCCTCTACTCAGATTTTGGCATCCTCAGTTTTCCTGCCTGAGCAGGGAGTTGGACTAGAAGACCTTCAAAGCCCCTTTCAACTCTGTTATTCTGTTATTCCTGAACTAAATAGTTAAGGCCCTCATTGGGATCCTTTCTCTTTTGCTCCCTCTGGAGTAATGAGTTAAATAGCTGCCTCTAGACATTCCTTTTAATAATATTTTTAGAAACCTGCAGTTGAAAGTTCTTCATGTCTCCTTACCCTGAAGTCCCAATTTCATTTGGAATTTAATCCCAAACTGATTGCCCTTTTAGCAGTTCTAGTTCAACTTCTGCTCAAGAGAGAATATATCATACAAGCGGGTTTGCAGACATACCGGCTTTGGTTGCAAGGACTGCAGGCAGCTTTCCCAGCCACATACTTCATCCCCCTGCTGCCCAATGCAAGGTGAGAGGCCCGAGAAAAAGCGCCTGGTCTCTCCACACAGCCCTCCACAACAGAACCCTTCCCGGGGAGCAAAACCTTGGACAGCCTGATCTACCCAGAAGGCCTCGAGGAGCTTCAGACTTCACACATGCCTCCACCGGCCTGAGTGCCCTACCTTTAGATCCCAATGGGGCTGGGCCAGCAGTAGCAACACTCCAGGAGGATGGGCGGATGTCATGGGGCTGCATGTGTGCACTGCAGCCGAGCAGCAGTCTCGGCCTCGGTGTAGCATCTCTCCCAAGGGTCGACCACCCATCCACCTGGCTGCTTCTCTCTGCCACCGCTTTCTGGATGGGACTTAGAGGAAAGTGGCACTCATGGCTGCTACATTTCACTATGCTGCAAAAGACATATGAAGCAAAGGCAACAGTGGAGAGAAGCAGCCCCGCAACTTGGAGAGAATGTGGAGCATCTCCCTGAGTGCCGAAGGCATGCCCAGGATCAAGGGCCTCAAGTAGCGGCTGCAAGATCAAGCAACATCTTGCAGCCGGACGAGCTTCTTGTGGTTATTGCTGGGTGAATCTCAATCAGTGGCTGCTTCTCTCTGCCACAGCACTTTCCGGATGGGATCTCTTACAGGTAAGAAGAACCCAAACCATTTCAGCCCACCTGCGCTTGTCCCCTGCGGCCCTTCAGCTCAGCACGGCAGGCCACAGGTTGGATAAATTGCTTCGGCCTGGGGGTGGCGTAGTTTGGCCCAGGGGTTCTAGCTGAATGCAGCAAATGTAGATTTCTTGGTTGGGCGGGGGGGGGGGCAGCAGCTTACCTAAACTAGGGAGCGGTGAAGGCTTGGGAGCAAGGAAGTCCAATAGCAGCTGGGACGCAGGTGTCATGAGTCTAGGGCCTAGGTGAGGTGTGACGGCTAAGGAGCCAGGCAAGCAGGAGAGCCGGTGAGGGAATTGGAGTTGGCCTAGGAGTGCTGCGAGCAAGGCAAGTGGGCAGCCAAAGCAGATGTGAGAAAAGTGGCCGTAAGAGGCGGTGCAGTGTGGGACCAGGCAGTGGTGGGATTTGCCAATTCGCTGAACTGCACAGAATCATAACAACCGGTTTGCCTGAAGTGGCTGAAGCACACCTCTGTTCATTGGGTTGTCTTTTAAAAGTTCATTTTTCCCCTTCTTTTGTATGTCACTGACACTTTTATTTATAGGCAGCATCTGCTCTGTACAAATAGTATAGTATAAAAACAAGTTTAATAGCAAATAATGTGCTAAGACAAATATTAAGCTATTGTTCATACTTACCTAATAAGTACCACTGAATTTAACATGTGTAAGATTTGACATTACACTGAAACTAGGCTTTTCAGTTAAATTTTCATCCTATTTGATTTATGTTGATGCAGTACAGTGTATTTAACACAACTAGAGGAAGTTATGTCTTCAAGGAATGGAACAGATCATTTAATAATCAATCAATTAATCTTTATTGTAGTCAGAGACCAGCATTATCATTTAATAATTACATTTTTTTAAGGAGCAAGTAAAATATTCCACAGCAATCTCGAATGATAAAACACAATGTTCATACAGGATTGTCTCTGTCTTACCCTGTTAGGTATAAGAATATTTCTGTATCTTACTGGAATTCCTATTGGATGCTGCCTTCTGATGTTTGTGGAAAGAACTGCTTTTGGGAAGCTGCCCATAGGTAGGCGCTTTGCCACAATCTTAATTGCTCAGTTACAATTTAGACATGCTAATAAGTATTGCAAAAGGTAGAAAAATGTTGATGCAATTACCCAACTCTTTAGGTTTTTTTCTGTCACATTACACTTTAATAGACATAAAGGTCATTTTGATTTAATTTAATTTTAAAAGGTTCCCATTTTTAAATTACGCATTTCTTTAAATAATATATTTTAAAATATGTATACTAACTGGTTGTGGAATAATTGTAATCTAATCAGCCTTAGAAAGTGTCCCAAATGTGGGTACAGTAGTGCTTTTATAAATGTATAAAGTTAATAAGATCATACCATCATACCATAAAGCAAAAAAGTCTGCAATATATGTTATAATTATGGTTCTTTTTAATTTTTTAATTGAAATTTTGCTGCTGATGGCTTTAGTCAAAATTTAAGGTGGTGAAATATATTTTTGAGGAAAAAATAAAATCCTTTGTTTCCTATTGGTAGATCAACAGAAAGAGGTATGCAATAGTGACAAATATCTATAGCTCAGGTGTAGGATGAGGATAAAGGTTTGTTCTTCAAGCTTGTAGGTTGGTTTCCAAACGTTTCATTACTAGGCTAGGTGTAAGGATCTGCCTCAACTACCTTCCCTAGAAAGTAAAACTCTTGAAACTATTTACCCTGTACAATACCCTGTGTCCATCAGTACCCAATAATATGCCTCAAATGTGTTTTGAAAATCACCGAGGCTAGATGGTGAAAAGAGTTCATGTTTGGAGCACTGAGACCTTGGATACCCAGCCCAGCCCAGAAAGAGTCGCTGCAGATGGTGTGAACAACAGCAAAGCGAAAGCATGCAAACTATGTGGCCCACGGTGTCTCCCTCCTCCCTTCCAGAATGGCAGCATTCTGAGAGAGACCTAATACTAACATCTTCAGTGGAGTTTAGGGGATGTCAGTGAGAACAAACTTTTACACTCAGAAAGAGGTATAATTGAATAGACAAATGTCAGCCCTTTTCTCTCTTTACCCTGTGATACATTACATCCAGTGATGGGATTCAAATAATTTAACAACCAGTTCTCTGCCCTAATGAGTGGCTGGGTGGGTGTGGCTGAGTGGTCATGTGACTAGGTGGGTGTGGCCAACTCGACATCACTTCTTTGTCCTACTGACTGTTTTAAGTGTAAAAAAAGATACATCAAAAGATAGTTTATTATGTCATGCATTTAATACTTACAATAGACATTTAATAAGAACAATAAAAAAGTACACAAAACTAGATTTTGTTACAAGAAAGAGTTTTAAAATATTAATGAAAAACTACTAGATAACAAAAAACAATAAAACTTATTTAAGATATTTCCAAATTGTTGTTTGATTGGCGTCCTCGCACTTTTCTTCAGTTTAACTCGAGCATCATCAACTGTGTGATGTGCTCTCAACCATTTTTTAACGGAAGAAATAGGGTCCCATTATTGTAGAGGTAGGCCAATTAGACTAATAGTCATTAGGTTTATTACATTGGAAACAGGTGACTTCTCCTCTCTGAACATATGATGTTCATTTGGAAAACCCCTTTCCACTTCTGCTGAACTTAGAGAATTGTTCTGACAATATCTTTAGCTTTTTGAATACTAAAGCAAAAACATCTTCCCTGGGCTCCAGAGGCCAGAAACAGGCCTGTTTTTGGACTTCCTGAACTTCAGGGAGAATCATTTTTCGCCCTCCCCAGGCTCCGGAGACTTTCCTAGAGCCTCCATGAGGGCGAAAACAGTCTGCCCCGGACTCCGGAGGCCCTCCCTGAAGTCTGACAAAAAACGGAGCACGGGTGATGGGCACCGCACACTCATGCTTCCCTCGCACATGTGTGTGCGACCCCCTGCGCCTGCATGTGCAACCCTCACAAATGCACATGGGTCTTCCAGCAGAGACCCGAAAATCAGCTTGCTTGTGGGAGGCATGCACGGTGGAGCTGACCTGCAACAGCTCACATGCCCTCATAGAGAGCTCCGTGTGGCACCTGTGCCATAGGTTCACCATCACTTCCTATCTATTCCTTTTGTTATTGCATCCTCCTCACGTTGTTTTAAGTTCTCTGTGCAGATATTATGAGCTTTTGATGAAAAATGTTCCTTCATTTTTTTTCTTAGAGAAGCTTGTTGTACCTCTTTGTTTTTCCATGCTGCATCAATCTGGAAATATTTCCATTCTTTTGATCCATGAGCACTTCTTTCTTTTGTCAAGTCAAATTTAGCACAATACTTGGAACCTAACTTTTTGTTGGAAATTTCCAGTCCCTCGTATTTTTCTTTCAAGTTGTTATACTGTGGCAATGTCCAACAATCAGAAAGATTATTTTCAATTTTGGAGTTCTCAGTTCTTTCAGTAATTGATAAAAGTTGGCAACTTTTAACATTTCAACTCCCAGACTCCCTCAGTCTGGGAATTGTATTTAGATATATTTAGATTAACATGAAGGTCCTATTTGGCTTGGCTCACACATTGTGCAGAGCTTCTTCTGAATTATATTCACAACTCAAACCCAAAAAAGCTCAATAACCTTTCAACTGATCAGCTTTTGGGACTCCAGCCTAATTCTTTTTCAGAATTGCTGGGTAGACATTGTGGACTCTATGTCAAATTTATTTTCAGATTTGTGGTATTGGTATCTTTGTATTCAAGATTGTTTTTATAATACTGCTACCATTGTTCATTTTCTCTTTGGAGTGCTTACAATTAAAAAAGTGAGAACAATACAAAAATAATCATAAACACCATGAAGATGGTCATATGAACAAAGAACCCATATAAACGAGCTGCACCACCAATCTATCCAGTCTCAGAGATGTAGCCAAGTCTTCAGTAGTTCCCTTAATGTCAACAGTTTGGGACCTATCTAGATAACCCAAGAACTGAATTAACATTTTACCGCAAGACAGTGCTTTATATTTGAATTCAATTCAGTGCAATAGTTAAACCTTCAGATATTTTACAGAAGCATTTGAACTATTTTTTATATCTCTGTTCTTCTGCGTATATATGGAAATTGTTAGAAATTAATTCTTAAAAACATAATTCATAAAATATATGATAAGATTTTGTTAAAGTTTGAAGAATAAATCGAAGATTTTAAAAAATGAAGTACGGTATTAAACAGATAGGTTGCATTAAGAACTTTCTTATATATTCACATATTAGTGAAATGTTGATACTGGAATTTGACTACATTTTAATTGATATTTTTCATCTTCTCAATTTAATAACATCTTAAGATAACCTTATTGTCATTTTTTTCTGTGGGAACTCTGGCACACATCTAATTATATATTTACTGTTTGCATTTTAAGGTTAATGGTTTATTGTTTGAAAAAAATGATTTTTATTGGAATTTATTTTGATATTACAAAAGGTTCATGTGTTTTACAGTGTGTACATTGACATTTTTTTCTGGCTGTTAGTATTGTATTTGATTTAACTTTTGGTTTTTGGTTTATTTTCTATGTTAGCAACAAGAAATATTGTTCGGAATAAGCTGTCAAGTAAATAATAATGAAAGCTACTATGAGGAATAATAAGAGAAAATATTAAAATTTGTTGTAAGATGAAAAGTTAAGTGGGCTACATTCTCAACCAAATGTATTTATTAAAAGAAAATGTTCTTTGACAAAAATAAGATGCTTTTTCAAATAAAAGTGAGCAGATAAGATAGGAAAAAATATTTTTATAGTACATTTGGAATTAAAACTACAAAAAATGATTTAAAAACTTGGTTTAATAACAGTTAGGAAATATATACTTGTCATTCTCTTGGTTGTCATAACTACTTTTTCTCAAATTGTGATAAAGCTAAGTAACATTAATGACTAACTTGAACAAAGAATCATTGTTTCAAATGTAATATAGAATGTTTAAATTTAGTATTGTTTCCATGGAAACAATTATTTCTTGTATTTTTTGCATCAGATATGATTTTCCAAGGCCTCCGCTTCCTGAAAGGATGCATTTGGCAGTGGTAGCCTGTGGGGAAAGATTGGAAGAAACTGTTACTATGTTGAAATCAGCTGTTATTTTCAGCATCAAAAATCTTCAGTGTCATATTTTTGCTGAGGAATCATTACATAGTGACTTCAGAGAAATAGTAAGTATTCATAAAAGAATGTATGCCTGGATTAAGATAACTTTGTATTTTTCCACCAGATTTAAGGCTGCTTGGCTTCAGTATCTAAATCTGCCAATGTCAGATCCCTAAAAGTGATACTGCCATTCAATTGGGAGGAGGTGCTTTTCATAAAAATACATTTGTGATAAATTGTGAGTCTGGTTATTTGGTATTCCCAGTTATTTGCATAGTTTTTTTAAAAACTAACACAATTTTCTAAAATGTTATTTGCATTAAAGATAAGTTTTATGTTGATTCATTTTTCTCTGTGTTTTACATCAATTGCAAGTAGTGACTGATCCAAGATATTCTCACCCTCTTAGTAAAATATAATTAGTAACATTTGTTACTAATTTGTTACATATAAATCCAATAAAATAGAGAACAAATTGTCAATATTATATATTCCTTTCATAAATCTTAATTTTATAGGCTTGAAAATATGCTGTTTAATAATAAAAATGAGAAAGAGTTAGAAATCGGTTAATCTTGCTTATATACTTTTGATACAAAAATACTAAAACATGTTGTTTTTTCCAGCTTGATAATTTGACACATAATGAAAACTTTAATTATACTCTGTATCCTATCTCATTTCCAACTGAGAATGCAGCAGAATGGAAGAAATTGTTCAAGCCATGTGCTTCTCAAAGACTTTTTCTACCAGTAAGTAGCAATGGTAGTTGGTAAACAAAATTAATAATTCTAGTCATAAGTGAAAAAGAAGATGTTGTATTTAAATAACTGCCTTGAGCCATTTTTCAGAATGAGATGGGCAGCGTATAAATGTAATAATTTAATTTAATTTAATTTATTGAACTTGTATGCCGCCCTATTCCCGGAGGGACTCAGGGCAGCGAACAAACACATGGGGAAGGGGCCATACAAAACACACAAGACAAAAAACAGAAAACAGAGACAATTTAAAACTACTCAACAGACGCAGCAATTCAAGTGGGGCTGGGAACTCATCAGCCCCAGGCTTGCCGGAACAGCCAGGTCTTGGCGGCTTTGCGTAAAGCCTGAAGGGTGGTGAGGGTCTGAATCTCCATGGGGAGATCGTTCCAGAGGGCCGGAGCAGCCACAGAAAAGGCCCTCCCCTGGGGGGTCGCCAGTCGATACTGGCTAGCTGATGGTATCTGTAGGAGGCCTAATCTGTGGGATCTAATTGGTCGTAGGGAGGTAATTGGCAGGAGGTGGTCTCTTAAGTACCCAGGTCCGATACCATGTAGG